TGCAATATCAATTAGCTGCTTGCCCGTAGTATTTCTTGGCAAGCCTGCAAGTTTGGCCGAGTATTTTGACTTTTCTCTAATTTCTTTACCTGAGAGATTACACATGTGTACCCTGACCATGTCGTTAAGTATAAATACACCATTACATTTTTTGAGTTCGACAAAGTTCGTATTTGGTGCATAAGTTATGGTGGCTTGTTGCCACATGTTCTTAGTTTCCATATTGAAACGGACGATCGTACCATAACGTCCAAATGTGGTTTTAGTTTGGTGTAACGTGACATCCAGGGGAATTTCCGTAACTTTGATCGACATCGTAGGAATGTACGGATGAGATGGAGCAACATCTAGGGGTAAAAACGTGCGTTCTTCTAGATTAGGTAATGGTACTGAACACGCATGGTCGCGATGTTCTTGGTTGCGAAACGAGATTTTAATAATTCTTTGTGCATGGTTTAAGGGGTTTTTTGTCGAAACCGCCCCAGCGAAAGAGTCATATTTGTCAAAAAGGAGATCTATGACTGTGGAAACTTTATGTTGTGGCGAAGTTCCAGGGAAATCATCAAGTGGAAAAAAACCATGGAACGAAGGTTTAGGTCTATCGAAGGCCTGGACTGAAGGCGTATTTGGGTCAAGGAAGTTTTCTGACGCGTCAAAACTTTCGTCAACGTTGTGGAGGGTAATGAGAGAATTTCTTTTTGAGAGGTCAAACGTTTCCAGTTCTTTGCCTTTAGTTTGCGAAGTTGGTTCAACGTCCATAATGACAGGAGTTACAGTTTGCGAGGTGCTTTGTTCCGGAGAAACTTCTAAAGTTTGAGTAGTGTTTCTCTTTTTGTTGTTGTTGTTTTGAAGGGGCGACGCTGAGCGCTCTCTTTGTTGGTTGTTATTTTGCTGTCTACTATTTCGATTATTTTTTGTCATTTTTTGTGAAAAAGCAGAAAGAGTTTTTTAAATGCAGTAACACATGATTAGGTAAGTCATTATATTTATCATAAGAAGATTTTCCTATGATTGGCTATTGAAGATTAATTTAAATCAGATATTATTTATACAGTTTAAAATATTTTTTCAGAAAATGAAGTTATATTAAGTAAAAAATATACCTTACTATTGCTTCTTTAAACACTAACTAACTGCTTGCAAAAATAATTCAAAATAATCAGGATTTACTTAGAGGTATTTTTATAATACAAAGCTTAAAGTTCTTTATATTGTTATAAAACTTGTTTTAAAATTTTTTAGTAAAGAGTTACAAATTTATATAAAAAATAAAGAAATCTGTATACTTTCTGAATATATGAAAAGATAAATCCAATAATTTATTATATTTTAATATTTGTCTTTCATTGCTTTTCGTTACTTTATGAAATATATAATAAAATAACATCTATATCAGAATTTTCATAATTAGTTATTATATTATTATATTATTTGTAACTTTATTAGTTCTATAGATGTTTTCTATATGTTGAAAATCTCTTTCTTGTAAATTAACTTCTTGTAGATTAAACAACTATATTATTATTGGATAGTTTTTTTGTCGCTCGTACTTATTATAATGATCAATTTTTTTTCAACCAATTAGAAGAAAGGTCTTCCTATGATTGCACCCGCCACAATAAATATTCTCTTAATAATTTTACCTAAAATTTAATATTTTATCATAATTTCTACTGGAATTATAAACCACATTGTTGTGTTTTGACATTTCATCATATCGGATGTTTCGTCGGTTTCGGAAATAGTTTCGTCTCTAAGAAACATTTTCGCCCATAAGAATTTAGTTCAACGATGATGATAATCTCCTATATAAAAAAAAAAAAAGAAAAAAGAAAATCAATACCTCAAAACAGGTAATTATAAGGGAAGGGAAGGGGTATTGGTAGCTACCATTTATCCAACAATTACTGTCTAGGTTCTTCATTGCGGATAAAAGTTATTTTATACTTTTTGGAAATTATTTTTATAGTGTCAGAAATACGCGTCCAATAATACTTCGTAGTACTGGTAATTTAAACCGAATTAACTAAAAAAAATCCCGAACTTCCAATTTAACGATATTTTTAAAAAAACATTCCAAGTACCCCCCCCCCCCCCCCCCCCCATATACAAGCCGAATATTATGGCTAAAGAACAATTGACACGTAATTATCTGGTTATTATCCAGTTTCAATGAGGATGAAAACAGAAATTTTTAGCTTTCAACATTGAAGAAACTTCAAATTTTATTGAAACCAATTTATAGAGATATAAAATCCTTAATTCAAATAAAAGTTTTTTTAATTTTTGAAATGGCCAAAAATGAGTCATACAAGGAATCAATTGCACGTAATTATTCAAATAGTATTTTTATTTTGTAACCCAAATATTTCCAAAAGTGAGCGTTTCGAAATTGATGTTTCTACATATTAAACACTTAAATCCCCTAGCATAATATTCGCACGAGACCGAAGAACATCAAATATCATAAGAGATTATTACATTCTTTGGAACAAATTTTAGATAATTTGCTTTTTTCAAAAGGAATTAACTTTTCACTCTTTTTATTCCAACTTGTATTGAGAAATTTAATCAATTTCTTTATTTTCTTGTAAAAAGCATCAAAGCTTCTGTCAATGTAAAAATCGAGAATTGATCTGTAGAGTAATCTGAGATCTTTGCCGCCATGCTTGAATGTTTTTTGAAATATTTTCCATGATTAAATTTGTATCTATGCGATAGGAGATTCATTTTGAAGCATTGTAGAAGAATATAGGAAGTAACGAAATTTAAAAATCTATACAATTATATCATAATTAACCTTTATTTTTTTTTTTTCAAATATAACATAGTAATAATGGTTATTATCTTAAATTTTGGAATTCCATTTCCATAAGGCCTTAATACAAATCTTCTTTATTAAAATCTTGTATTTTATTTTCAATTTTATGGATTAAGCGGACAATCTCTTCATGTTTCATATAAACATTATGAACCATACCGAGGATATCTTCATACTTCTTATTGAGAACCTCTTTGGCCAAATCTTTTGAATTACCGCTATCCATATTGTCGATACCTTGTAATTTGATTTTATACATTTCATTCAACATTGGAATAGAGAATGGTAAACAAGGTGGATCTGTTTCAGGAAAAACATCAGAATCGCTAAAATGAGATTTTAATCGTTAGATTGAAACATCGAATTTGACATCAAAAGAAATTAATAGGAACATAAAGGGCTTACTCGATATCTTTCACCTCATTTGCTTCTTTTTCTACCTCTTCCTCGTTATCCTCTTCATGATTTATATCTTTATCCTCTTCTGACGACGAGTTCTCTTGTTGTTCCGAGTCAATTGACTCGACATCACTTGCATCACGATTATCCTCGATTTCCTTTTCAATAATTTTCCTTGTAACCTTCTCCAACAACTCTGTCACCTGTGTGTCACTCCAGATAATTGATTCGTGGCCCTTCCTTTTATTCTTTAACCATATTCTCATCGCGTTTATACTATTAAGAGCTTTTTGATAAACAGCTTGAATGCTTCTTTGATAAATTATATTTCGTTGTATCGCTTTATCACAAAGAAGTTTTGGATGGGCAATCCAATCAGCAATGTTATCATTGATAAAATCGAGGATTGCTATAAGCTCCTCTTTCCTCCAAGGATTATAAAATGATGAGTATGATGGTATTGAAGAAGAGGGTGATGGTGAGCGAGAAGGTGAAGAATTAGCAAGAGATGAAGTTGATTTCTGGCGACTTGATCTACTTGACATGATTGATGATAAGAAAGTTTGATATGGAGATTGAAAAAAAAATAATGGTTCTTATAAACTCGAAATGAACTTGAAATTATATAAACATTCGTAAAAAATTACATATATGGTCTTATATGTAATTTAATTCTTTATAAATAGCGTAACTTGGTAGTTTTTGGATATTATTACGTGTAATTATTAACTAAAGATTATCGATATATATATATATATTTGTCGAATTTTTATAGTGAAAACAAAAAAATTTAGAGAGAAAATTGAAATTTTTTTTTAAAAAGTGAGATCTTAATATTTCTTTTAAATCAATTAATATTCAGTCTTGGTCCCGCAAAATCGAGTTAAATATCTTTATGGATCACTTTTTTTTTTTTTTATTAAAATCTATATTTGCTCTCATTAATATTTTTCCTTTCTTTTAAAAGAAAAAAAAAGAAAGAAAAAAAAATTTGTATTGACGTTACAGCGTTAACACCGATTAAAGAATCAATCTTTCACGGCTTTTTGCACAAATAAGCGAACAAAAAATCAAGACAAAACTGGTATTATCACACCAGTTTTTGTTACCAGATCAAAAAATCAGTCACATGTTCGCATTGCCAAATAAATTAATAAACGTTTTTTTTTTTTTTTATAAAAAAAAGGGTCTTTTTATATTACGAGCAAAATTTTTTTGAAAATATGAAAGCTGCGGCGATTACCATGAAATTCACATGATTAATTCATTTGATTTTAAATCGACTAAAATAAATCACTTTAAGGGTTTAATCGTGAATCTTCTATAAAGAAATAAAAAAAATGGATATTATGCAGAATCAAAGCATAAAAGAAGAAATCAAAATGGACTCAACAGAGACATCACCAAGCAAAGAAAAAGAAACAACGCAAATACCCACATATTCAACGTCACAACTTTTGAGTTTACCACAAGAATTATTCATGGAAATTTGCGAAAATTTACATCCAAAAGATTTATACACGTTAACCTTAGTTTGTAAACAGTTCAGGATTATATTATGGTCGGATTCGATTAATACACAACAAATATGGTGTAATTCAAGAGCGAAATTTTTACATTCACTTATGAAGCTACCAAATAGTTTAACTGAGCAAAAATTCATCTGGTTAGGGTATTTAGGTCAAACTTGTCAATGTTGTGGTCAGGATCTTGAAGATAATAATCGTAGACGTTTTTGGGAATTTAAAGTCATGGTATGCTCCAAATGTGCTGATGAAAAAACCATCAGGTAATAATTTTTTTTTATTATTATTTATTTATCTTTCAACTCAATTTTACAATTGAATTTTTTTTTTTGATCTAATTTACTTTCATATTAAAAAAAGTCTTGCAAAGTTGAAGGGGTCGCATGTATCAGAGAAAGTTATATCGTGTTTACCATGCATCAGTGAAACCAATTTCAGGAATGATTTTAATTTCTTGGTGAATGCGACATCACCGGGATATAATGGAACCAATCCATACTACTGGAAGAGTGATGTGTCGCGTGCGATAGATGAATATAATTCTCTGAGTGAAGATAAAATAGAAGATTGGATCAAAGCTAAACAAGACGAATTGGAAGATTTTAATCAAATTATTGTAAATATGAGGATCAAAGAAGACGAAAAAGATATTAATAACCTTTTATGCAATATTCTTCTCTCTAGATAGGTTCTTTCGTTTTTTTTTCGTAAGTCTTCAATTTCTTCAAAAAAATTTTTTTTTCAGCATCATAGTTCATGAAATTAGGTGTTATCTAAGCTAAATCAATTGAACTTGATATATATATATATATTTATTTAAAGGATTTGTTTATGTACATTCAAAATTTGTAGTATTTTTTTTTTCATTTTTATTTTTTGACGGGTTCGGTTGTTTTGTTCCGGTGGTCTTTTATTTGATCTGTTTGACCGGTTTTAGAGCAATTGGAATTGGTGAAATTTGTAAGTAACCGATGACTTTTTTTTAAATATCCTTATAATGGAACGACGTAATTATATATTTAACGTGAATAAAACACGAAAGTGATTTACATTGAAAAGAAAAATGAATAATTGATAAAGTTAATGGATTAATGATTTTTATGTTAAGGTGGATTTTTCAACCGATAAACTTTTCCGCTCATTTTTTTGCCGGGTAAAAATCATCACAAGATTAATCAATAAATTTATCTTAAAGGTATTAAGGTTAAGATAATTAATACTGAATGCATGATTTGGGATTCAAAAATTGGTTGGATCATTTTGGAAAAATATAATAATAAAACTATAATCTTTATACACGATCAGTTATCATCATGCCGCGCATTTTTTTTTAAAAAAAAAATTTCTTGTAAAATTAACAATGACGTAGTAAAAATCGTTAAATAAAATTTTACCCGTTTTTTTGGTTTATAAAACAAAAAATTTCAAGAGAAATAAATCGTAATAGTATTTTGATTTTGTTTTGTTTTTTTACTTTTTATTCATTAAACGCATATCTTGAAGAACCAATGGGCGCGATTTAATTTGGCACAGCAGATCACGGTACTCACAGACGCGCCGCGAGAAATTTTGTGTAAATGTGAACCAATCGATACTTGAGAATTCAATACAATACGAACTCGAAAAAAAATAAATAAACAAACATTTTCTAATATGAAATAAAAAAGACGAAAAATTAAATTAAAAAAAAAAAAAAATATTAAAATAAAATCCGTCATTGACGTCATCAGAAATTCATTTTATAATCCTGGCTAGCATTAAGCAAAATCACGTCGCGATCACATGATAACGTAAAAAACAAGTTCCGAATTCGGGGAATATTTTAAAGGAAAGTGTGCTTCACTTTTCGTTTTAAAAGCACCTCTTTTACAGGAAATTTTCATGATGACGAGCTTTAAAATTGGGTGTATCCATTAAAACACGCGTCGGAATTTCAAACCAACATCTTGAAAATGTTCGCAAAACACTATTATTATTTTACAATGATTTTAATTTAATGAAAAAAAAAAATGTAAAAAATCGTTGGATCGCAATTTATTTTTATAGAATATATCGAAATGCATCGAAAGATGTTGAAATGAAATCTTTTGATTTCGCGATGAATACCTTTTGAGGGAGGAGGAGGGATCAAAGGAAACCGGCATTTTGATTAGCTTCTGACGTGAAGGATCATTTACAAGAAATATATCACAAGGAACGTTATTTCAACAGAGCATCATGGGTGTTCACAAATACCGAAATCGGATGTTAAGTCAATGTCCGACAAATTGATCATTGCGAATTTTCTTAATTCACGTTCATTGTTCGAATTCAACTTGAATAGGTTCGCGTTCGGCTTTTTTTTTTCTTGTTTAATACAAATATTTTCTCAAATCAAATAATTAATATAACCTAACAATAATCAATAATCAAACCAATAAACTAAAATAATATAATGTGAATTTAAGTCTAAAAGATAACCTACATTTCGCGCGACATTGCGTCAACAAGTTGAACTTGTTTCAAGGTTTCATGTGTCAACAAAAATCAATCGAGGGCTAATTACGCACGGATGTTGTTTAACGAGATATGGACATGTCAATCAACAATTTCTCATGCTATAAACATCTAATTGTTCTTATCATTCTAATCATTCTAATCATTCAAGTACTTTCATCAGGATCACGTGTAGATCTCCGCTTAGACGAAAACAAGTGAAGGTTTTTGAACTATTGTAACCTAATAAAGGAAATCGATTCCCCTTTTTTATATACATTACAAAATTAACAAAAGAAACAAAAAATAAAATTTCGCCTGTTTGATGATAACGTGAGTGACACGGTATTTTAAGCGTGGGTAATTTTCGATCTTTTTTTATCTTTTTTCTTTTTTTTTTATCCCCTTAAAAACCTTTTGATTATGCACAAAAAAAAATTAAAAAAAATAAAAATAAAAATAAATTTAAAAAAAAAAAAAAAAAAACTGGTTTGCAGGTATTCGTGTGATTATTGGTAACAAAAAATCAAGTAATTAAGAAAATAAAAAAAAAAATTCCGAGTTGGAAAAAAGTTAGAACAAAAAATGAATTTATCCCCTTATGTAACCAATTTTTTTGAAATATTTGATCATAAATATAATCAATAATATAAACATGTAAATAAATAAATAACCCCATGTATGATATGATACTCATCAGAATATGTCACACGAAAGTGGAAGGTTGATCCGTTCAAATTAACATGGTTTTTTTTTTATTAAGAAAAAAAATCCGTTACTTTCCAAAATATGGGACAAAGAAAAGAAAAAAAAATTAGATCTTTTCAATCAAGAATAATTTTAAATCGACACAATTGAAAAAATTTTCAATGTAAACTTTAAACCTAATTGAAATTTAAGGTTGAATTTGCCGCAAATTACCGAAACCTAATCACATGGCTCTCATTTAAAAGATATTCCCGTTGCAGGAAATTAATGAAAAAGAGTAAATCTGCTAAAAACGATATTAGCCTCGAAACCTTAACTATATGATCATTTTCCTTTTTGAAACGTAAAAGAAAACAAAATCATCATTGAAATCAAGTCATTCATTCTTTGGGGGGGAGGGGACAATCAAAAAATATATATATATGTTTTGAAACACACAAAAAAAAATATATATATCGAAACAGAATACTTCTTACCAATAAAGCAAAAATGATTTTATTTGGTTACATTTCTTCCCGCTTTTATCTTTATCAATAATTATCAATAATTATCAGACAAAAAAAAAATTTTTTTTATTGTTAAATTTCCATTAAATTTTTTAGCACAATGAAATCATTGTATTCAGTTAGAAAAAGTCATAATAATAAGTACCACCAATGGAACAAAAATTCCAAGCTTCTAATTAGGAATAATGAAATAATGATAATATGCCCACGCCATACAATCTTACAGATGATAAGAAAAAAATTTTTGTCTTTGCATCCGTCCTTCGTTCCAACATTCTAAATTCCCAACCATATGGAATCCATTTTTTTTTCTTGCATATATAACGCATTTTAATCATCCTTTGATACAATCTTTTTTTAGCAAGACAAATGTGCATGATTTTTTTTAAAAAAAAAGCATTCAACCCATAAAGGGATAAAATAAAAATAGTCACGTCTTAATCATCATCTCCTAGATCACATTTGCATAACTTGCATGCAAAAAAAGGTTCACGGACTTTTGAATTTCTCGCGCAGCATCAAACATGCGAGTTTCAAAATATGCACGCATAGTGTAAAAAAGCAATAAGTTAAACAAAATATTCCGAACACCACACCACACACCACACATTTCACATCACACAGACAAAACCTTCGAAATTTGGAAAGTTTCAAATTTTCAAAAAAATTTTTTTTTTTTTTATAATTCCCAGCTATACATTTTTTGTGTACATACTAATCGATTTATGACAAAAAAAAGATTACCCAATGAGCTTAATTATGGTATCTATCAGCACTATTTCCCTTTGCACACCTCTTTTTGTTTCATAAACCTTATCTAATACAAATAAAAGAAAATCCCAAACGTAACATAACCCAAAAAAAATGTTCATTTCAAATTACCGCATTAACCGCATATCAATCCTTAATGTCCTAAAAGCATTATGCCATAAACTTTTCGTTTTTTTTTTGTTTTTCAAAAAAAAAATAAAATAAAAACAAAAAAAAAACAAAATTAAAAGGGGAAAAAAAAACTAAGCTAAAAAACAAAAAAAAATTAAAAAAGATTAAATATCTACATATATACACAAAAAAAATCAATATTTTTTTTTTTCGTCGTGCTTTTTTTGTTGTGATTTATACAAAAAGTATTACTAGTGAATAAGAAGGGGAGGTTTAAGTAAAGATTCTATAATTGTTTTTAAGGTGGTAAAGAGAAAAAAAAAATAGATTGTAGCTTTTTATCCAAAAAAAAAAAATTAAAATGAATTTTTTTTTTTTGAGAAGTGAAAAAGAAATTAAGATTAAGATTATTAAATTTTTTTTGTGTAAAAATTGTGAAAGTTAAAAATGCAAGTCGGAAGAAGGAAAAAAAAACTAAAGTCTTACACTAACAGAGGTATACAAAGGTCAATTATGTTCATTATTTACAAATTAAAAAAATTAAAATAAAATAAAACGAATTGAAAGAAATCATAATTCGTAACGTTGCGTATAGTACCAAAGTTTATATTGCCGGCCCGCCTTTTTTTTTTTTACAAAATCGCTTTCGAAGATAAATCGGGAAAATCGTTCACGAAAAAAAAAAATATTACAAGTAAAAAAAGCGAATCGAAATTGTTGAAACCGTTAATTAACGTAAAAAGATTTTACGAAATCTTGATAAATTGCGAGCTGACTTTTTTCTATTAGCCGACTTTTCTTCCATCATCGATTCGTTCTCATCGCTATCAGAAGAGGGAGTGCATGGCGGGGAGTAATCGTAACCATTTTTGGTCGATGAAGGACGACATGAAGCCAGTGATTGGATGATATCCCCCGTTCGTCGTCTCAAGAGACGTGGGATCTGTGGAATACTGCGTTGTAGATCGTGATCTTTGGTTGGTGTGAGGGTGGATGACGTTGGTGTAACCGACGTGGAAGGTGGCAACATCGTATGGTGATCATCAAACGAAGTTTCGTTGTCGTTACCGATGTTCAATGATTCATCGTCAAAACCCAATCGATTATTCGGTCCAAA